CTTCAGGATGTTGTCAGTGAAAGAGCAAATCATTAGGTCTGCAAGAATACTATGTGGGCCAAAGCTTGTTAAGATCTGTCTCATGTAGCTCAAAACACTGTCCTCTTTCAACTTTCAATTTTTGCTTATGTTACCTGGACTAGTCAAAACATTGAAGTAGTTTTATGGTACTTCCTTTTTAAAAGTGGAACTTTAGAGTTAGATCCTTTGTTCTACAGCTTATAAGTGCAGCTATTTGCTTTTAAGTTTTATTCTGAAAGTAGGAGCCAGTTCCTACTATGAGAAGGACCAAAGTTTTCAGATTGCAGCCACCATATGTTAGAGATGTAATAACCAGTCAGTTGTTCCTTAGTGTGATTATTCTCTTGGTTTGAAGTTCACTTCGAGAAATAGCTTGGTTTTTATTTGTTGAAAGAACATTATTACCTTCTGCACATTATTTTAATGAGACATAAGTTGGACAATTCTTACTTCTAGTCATTCATATACTAAAACCTGGTATTTTTCACTTCCTAGTTGAGAGTGAAGAGGTGTCACTTTTTTATCTGATGCTTGGATAGTGCTTTGATTTGAATCATGAGCATAACTTTCAAGGGCTGTACTCTTAGCTGCAGGTAGGATGGCTGACTGTCTGCAGGATGAAATGAAATAGGGTTTGGGATTGTTTTTGTTGCTGGTGCAACAGCAGAGGCGAAAGTAGCCTACAATTTTCTATTGTAGGCTGTACTGGGGAAATATTATCTTCTGTTATCTTAGTATCTCATTTTATTTTCGTTTCTTAAAAAGGCTTTTAGACAGAAGCACTCTTTGTAACTTCCGGAGCTTACATTGCTTTCACTGTAGTGACTGATGCTTACATACTGTAAGCCAACGATGAAAAGCATGTCATACTCTGCAGTTGATTTCTTAGTTCCTCAGGTAACATGCCTGCTTACACTTTGATGAGCCTGGCTATGCACTGCAGCTGCTTACAAACAACCATATCTGAGTGTCTGACATCCGAAATATCTCTCTCCCACAACTCTCTCCCCAAAAACAGGAAAGGCTGCAGTGGCTTGAAGCACCAAATGAACATATGCCTTTCTCTGATCTCAGGTAGAAGAAATTACCCCCACCAAGTCATAGGAGTAGGAAATGTACCATGTTTGTGAGAAGTTATGATTGCAAATTGAGTATTAGCAACTTTCCCCCCAAATAAACATGGTAAGATAATACTTTTTTTAAAACCCTCAACCAGCAACAAGAAAAGAAATGCATCCTTTCTTTGGACAATACATTTTTCCAATTCCTGTGATTTGCTGGGGCTCCTTTTGCTTAAGAAAGTGGGGGGAAATGAGGATTTAGCAATTGCTTCATGCCACTTCTTGTTTGCCCATTGTACTGCTTGGGGGCATTCTAAACATGCGCACTGGTTGCTTCTTCCGTGAGAAGCTATAATTTGTAGCCAGTGTTACTACATTCCTATTAATAAATACTGTCCCCCAAAAGTATAATTTCGCTTGTGTAGTATCTACACAAAAGTTAGCCTTAACTGGGTGCTTTTGTACATAAGATATATGTAACTATTGTAGGATTTAGTCTTCATTTTCTGTTACTGGCATTGGGTACCAAATTAATTTTGAACTCTTTATGCTTAAGAGTCTCTAAAGAAGAGATTTGATGAGGAGTACCCAATGAAGGTATGGGATAGGCAAAGTTCTCTGGTTGGTAGGACAAATCTTCAGCCCTGCTGGGCTCACGCCAATAGGGCGGAAAGTGTGTCCTGCCTCCCACATGAAATATATTCTATCCCATTGGTCTTAAATGGAGGGAAAACAAGTAGACCAGTCCCAGGAGTGGCATATGTCCCCCTTTATCTGAGGGCATGTCAAGGGATTAGAAAGGCTTGGAATCCCACAGAAACATGCTGAGGATCACCCCCCCCCCAGCTGCTGTTGGGACATGGGGGGCAGCAACTAAGATTTCCATGGCTGCACTGAATGCACTGAAGTCTTCCAGTCTAATAGGTAGTAAGGTGAAATAGAAGAGCCATGGTTTCCAAGGAAATGAAGCTGATAAACAATTAGTGCTTCAGTACAGAAAATGTCAGTGTATTTGTGTTTTAATAATTGGATAGGGAATGAAAATCCCCAAGTGCCACAGGATCTAAAATGTTGAGCTTTTTATAAAGTTAGTACCTCTGTGACAATGACGGCTTTGAAGGCGTGTTACTTGTTACATTTTTACCGTGTAGCATAAAAATGCACTGAGCTTAGTAGACTCAGCTATGTGTACTGTTATTTTTTGCATTCCCCCCACATCAGTTGATCTTAATTTCTCAAGGGCTCTTTCTCAAAGTATCTGCCCTCCAAACCTATCTATATTTTCTTATCTCAAAGGCTGATGCTGAATTTCTTATTAATAATGATTTAATAGGTTGTATTATATTTTGTACTAACTGCAACTTGGTCTACAAGAGGTTATTGATCCTGCAATATTTGACTTGATAGAATTATATATTTCCATAATACTTTGGAAAAAATCCATGTAAATATGAACCTTAATTAAAACACTTGTTTCTGATTGCTTTCATTTTGATTGGTTTCTCTTGCTCCAGTATGGAGATTGTATGCAGGGCCTGAGATTTCCAAAGTAAAAAAACCAAAGGTGATCGTCAATTTCCTGTTTGGTGGTCCATTTCCCCAAACTTTCCACACTGAGTCTCCTCTGTATTGCACCCTCCTGTGGTGCTCAGATGAACTGGTCATAGTTACAGTCTTCACAGTTGAAGAGATTCATTCAAGGGGCACAGGAGTTCATGGTGAGTGCTTGCAGAATTTCTGTATTGAGGGTGTGGAGTGACCCAGCAGAGTGGAGAGAGAGGGTGCTATTGAAGAGGGTGGTGCTCATGACATTCAAAATTCTACTTGCCTCCACGGGACCAAAATGTGTGTTGACACCTAACTAAGACAAAGGAGTGGTGGAGATGCTCATTGTATCTGCAAATGACTCAATGCAAATTGGGCAGAGTAGCAAATGCCTTAGAAGACAGAAGCAATATTCAGGATTATATTGAAAGAACGGAGAACTAAATCAAAACAAACAAAATGAATTTCAAAACAGACAAAAGTTCTGCATTTAGGTCTGAAGAATCAGATGAAATATAGGATGAGTACTTCATGGCTCAACAGCTGTATTGTATATGAAAAATATATAGGATCTTAGTAGACAACATGCTAAACATGAGTCAGCAATGCAGTATTTTTCAGCGTTGTGAAATGCATGGGAACCTTCTTGGGAACGAGCTGGTGTGTGTGTCCTTGCATCACCCTTTTTTGCTTAATTCACAAGATTTTGAAATACTGTTCTGCAATATGAAATCTTTTGTACAGGATATAAGGCAACCTAGCCATTTGGCAATGAGCTTCCTGGATCACCATCTGAATGTAACATTACTGAAAACAACATTGCACAGAGATCTGCTTCTGCTGCGGGACATCTCCCCTCTCTTCACCCCTGCATAAAATCAGCCCTGCTGGATCACACTAAAGGCTCATCTGGTCCAGCATCCTCATAATGGCCACCAAATGGCTATGGCATGCCCAGAGCCAGGACCTGGTAGTAACAGCACTCTGCCCACTTGTGATTTCCAGCAACTGGTATGGAGACATGGTACCTCCAACAGTGGAGATAAGAACGTAGCCATCATGGATAGTAGCCAATGATAGTCTTAACCTGCTATGAATCGGTTTAATCTTTTAATGTCATCCAAGTTGGTAGCCATCACTCTCTCATGTGAGAGTGAATTTAATAATCTAACTCTGTACTGTTTCCCTCCCAGCCTATGTCACCCATCCTGAATTCCTAAACCCCTTTGGTTTCTGGCCACAGCTAGATGAAGGGCTGCACCCCTCCTTGTCTGGTACATCTTCACTCTCTTGATGGCTTCCTTGATGGGTCAATGTCTGGCCATCATCAGCTAATGTTCTTCCAATGGCCACCATCCAGCTAGCTCTGCTGAGCTGGCCTGGCTCCTAAACCAAATCTAGCAGGTTTTGTGTGTGTTTGGCACAGTTTAATCAAACCTTGATTGTTTCTAATTTTTACTAATTCCAGGATTTATGGGTGACTTGCACAGACCCTGGCCCCAAAAGTATATAGCAGTACATTTGATTCTGAATTATTTACATTACAATCTACTTGCAGTGTCTCTTGTCAAGGCTCCTGAATATATTACTTTGACCCATCCATCTGTATGGCCATACCAGTCAATCCACCCAAGTTGTTCCCAACCTTTAAACCTCTCCCCACCCTGGCTCCACCTCTTGCCTTGGATCCATTGCCTCAGTCTGTTTTGTATTTATGTTGGAAATATTTTGGAATTTCAGCAGCACTTCTTTCAGGTGTGGTTCTGTTTTTTGGAGCCCATGAAATCTGTAAGAAAAGCAGTAATCAAGTATGGTAAATCATGGGGCTGGGTGGAGGCAATTTATCCCTCCTCTCAGGGAACTGCCATCGGTTCAGGAGGGAGAGAGGAAAAGCTGAATGGATTATAGAGAGCCTCCAAGGATCGTGGGAAGCAGCTCTTCAATGGAGGTGAGTAACCACGCCTCCAGTGGAGAGGAGCTGCAGGGCTTGGAGGAGGCGAGGCGGTGCCAGGACACCTTGCCTGGGCAAAGCGGGGAGGAGAGGGGTCCTCCGTTACCCACGCCCTCCGTGCAGAGAGGGGAGGCACAGACTGGGCGTCAAGAAATTGCTTTGCTGGGGAAAGTTTAAGAACTGCCCACTCACGGATTCTGCCAGTGAATGAGTCAGCCACGGGAGAGTGGTACTCCGGACAGATAAAGTTTATTTTTGCAGCAAAAGCAAGGCTTCACAGCCGAGCAGGGAGGTATTTGCCTGCTTGCTCTCGAGCAACCCCTTGGAAACATAACACCTCTCAACTTTGATGACTAACATTGAATGAAAGTTTAATTCTTCAAGTAATTCTGGTATTATCTCTTTCCCAGGGCAGTACTTTGAGTTTCGTTTTCGTTTTCCCTACATTTCTGTTTCCTAAAAATCTGGGCAGAATTGTCTGGTGTACATGTCCATACAGACTCAGCTATGTTGTGGCTAGAAACCAAGAATTTAGGTGTATCCAGTCTTTATCACTGTTCCCTCCCTTATTTAAACAACTGACAGAAAACTGCTTTTGAACCCTGGGCATCTGGTTGTCAACTATGAGAATAGGATGCTGGACTAGAACCACCTTTGTCCTGATCCAGCAGTGATCTTTTTATGTTCTTAAAAAAGCCGGTTTAACTTGTTCCATTAGACAGATTTGTAAAAATGTTTCCAAAGTGAAAGATCTCCAAATGTATTTTTGCATCAATGGAAATTGGTATTTTTAAATATATAGGATTCAAAAGGAAACATCGGGTGTTCTGAAGCTGAACAAAAGTGCAATGCCAGTAATATTTATGATCCAGTTGTGAACTATTGTAGGGTACAATGAGGAGAAAGAGAAGTAGTAGTTTAGGATTGTCATCATTCCTTTCTCCATCCATCCATTCCATCCGTAACCTTGGGAGAAGGGGTTATTGAAGGTATTTGTTCAATTTCTAACACCATGTGAATCCAACCAGAAAAATGTATAGGCTGATCGCTGCGAGCCCAGACCACGTGCTTTTAGCAAGTTATCTTTATAATTTCTATACAAATAATTTAGAAACATTTACCAATTTTTGAAACTAAGTTAAACTGTTTGTGTTTTCTTGCTGCTGTATGGAAAAGCACATGAATCTGACCTTTGAAGAGTTTGTAAGCAAACCATTTTTAACTTATCGAACATGTCTTTTTTTAAATGCTGTGGGAAGAAAGGAGAAATATGGAAAGAAACTTAGAAGGGGATATTTTAAAGGTCTGAAACGCCTTCAGGATGTTGTCAGTGAAAGAGCAAATCATTAGGTCTGCAAGAATACTATGTGGGCCAAAGCTTGTTAAGATCTGTCTCATGTAGCTCAAAACACTGTCCTCTTTCAACTTTCAATTTTTGCTTATGTTACCTGGACTAGTCAAAACATTGAAGTAGTTTTATGGTACTTCCTTTTTAAAAGTGGAACTTTAGAGTTAGATCCTTTGTTCTACAGCTTATAAGTGCAGCTATTTGCTTTTTAAGTTTTATTCTGAAAGTAGGAGCCAGTTCCTACTATGAGAAGGACCAAAGTTTTCAGATTGCAGCCACCATATGTTAGAGATGTAATAACCAGTCAGTTGTTCCTTAGTGTGATTATTCTCTTGGTTTGAAGTTCACTTGGAGAAATAGCTTGGTTTTTATTTGTTGAAAGAACATTATTACCTTCTGCACATTATTTTAATGTGACATAAGTTGGACAATTCTTACTTCTAGTCATTCATATACTAAAACCTGGTATTTTTCACTTCCTAGTTGAGAGTGAAGAGGTGTCACTTTTTTATCTGATGCTTGGATAGTGCTTTGATTTGAATCATGAGCATAACTTTCAAGGGCTGTACTCTTAGCTGCAGGTAGGATGGCTGACTGTCTGCAGGATGAAATGAAATAGGGTTTGGGATTGTTTTTGTTGCTGGTGCAACAGCAGAGGCGAAAGTAGCCTACAATTTTCTATTGTAGGCTGTACTGGGGAAATATTATCTTCTGTTATCTTAGTATCTCATTTTATTTTCGTTTCTTAAAAAGGCTTTTAGACAGAAGCACTCTTTGTAACTTCCGGAGCTTACATTGCTTTCACTGTAGTGACTGATGCTTACATACTGTAAGCCAACGATGAAAAGCATGTCATACTCTGCAGTTGATTTCTTAGTTCCTCAGGTAACATGCCTGCTTACACTTTGATGAGCCTGGCTATGCACTGCAGCTGCTTACAAACAACCATATCTGAGTGTCTGACATCCGAAATATCTCTCTCCCACAACTCTCTCCCCAAAAACAGGAAAGGCTGCAGTGGCTTGAAGCACCAAATGAACATATGCCTTTCTCTGATCTCAGGTAGAAGAAATTACCCCCACCAAGTCATAGGAGTAGGAAATGTACCATGTTTGTGAGAAGTTATGATTGCAAATTGAGTATTAGCAACTTTCCCCCCAAATAAACATGGTAAGATAATACTTTTTTTAAAACCCTCAACCAGCAACAAGAAAAGAAATGCATCCTTTCTTTGGACAATACATTTTTCCAATTCCAGTGATTTGCTGGGGCTCTTTGCTTAAGAAAGTGGGGGGAAATGAGGGTTTAGCAATTGCTTCAAGCCACTTCTTGTTTGCCCATTGTACTGCTTGGGGGCAGGAAACCTTGGCATTCTAAACAGGTGCACTGGTTGCTTCTTCTGTGAGAAGCTATAATTTGTAACCAGTTACTGCATTCCTATTAATAAATACTGCTCCCCAAAAGTATAATTTTGCTTGTGTAGTATCTACACAAAAGTTAGCCTTAATTGGGTGTTTTTGTACATAAGATATATGTAACTATTGTAGGATTTAGTCTTCATTTTCTATTACTGGCATTGGGTACCAAATTAATTTTGAACTCTTTATGCTTAAGAGTCTCTAAAGAAGAGATTTGATGAGGAGCACCCAATGAAGGTATGGGATAGGCAAAGTTCTCTGGTTGGTAGGACAAATCTTCAGCCCTGCTGGGCTCACGCCAATAGGGCGGAAAGTGTGTCCTGCCTCCCACATGAAATATATTCTATCCCATTGGTCTTAAATGGAGGGAAAACAAGTAGACCAGTCCCAGGAGTGGCATATGCCCCCCTTTATCTGAGGGCATGTCAAGGGATTAGAAAGGCTTGGAATCCCACAGAAACATGCTGAGGATCATCCCCCCCCCCCGGCTGCTGTTGGGACATGGGGGGCAGCAACTAAGATTTCCATGGCTGCACTGAATGCACTGAAGTCTTCCAGTCTAATAGGTAGTAAGGTGAAATAGAAGAGCCATGGTTTCCAAGGAAATGAAGCTGATAAACAATTAGTGCTTCAATACAGAAAATGTCAGTGTATTTGTGTTTTAATAATTGGATAGGGAATGAAAATCCCCAAGTGCCACAGGATCTAAAATGTTGAGCTTTTTATAAAGTTAGTACCTCTCTGGCAATGACGGCTTTGAAGGTGTGTTACTTGTTACATTTTTACTGTGTAGCATAAAAATGCACTGAGCTTAGTAGACTCAGCTGTGTGTACTGTTATTTTTTGCATTCCCCCCACATCAGTTGATCTTAATTTCTCAAGGGCTCTTTCTCAAAGTATCTGCCCTCCAAACCTATCTATATTTTCTTATCTCAAAGGCTGATGCTGAATTTCTTATTAATAATGATTTAATAGGTTGTATTATATTTTGTACTAACTGCAACTTGGTCTACAAGAGGTTATTGATCCTGCAATATTTGACTTGATAGAATTATATATTTCCATAATACTTTGGAAAAAATCCGTGTAAATATGAACCTTAATTAAAACACTTGTTTCTGATTGCTTTCATTTTGATTGGTTTCTCTTGCTCCAGTATGGAGATTGTATGCAGGGCCTGAGATTTCCAAAGTAAAAAAACCAAAGGTGATCGTCAATTTCCTGTTTGGTGGTCCATTTCCCCAAACTTTCCACACTGAGTCTCCTCTGTATTGCACCCTCCTGTGGTGCTCAGATGAACTGGTCATAGTTACAGTCTTCACAGTTGAAGAGATTCATTCAAGGGGCACAGGAGTTCATGGTGAGTGCTTGCAGAATTTCTGTATTGAGGGTGTGGAGTGACCCAGCAGAGTGGAGAGAGAGAGAGAGGGTGCTATTGAAGAGGGTGGTGCTCATGACATTCAAAATTCTACTTGCCTCCACAGGACCAAAATGTGTGTTGACACCTAACTAAGACAAAGGAGTGGTGGAGATGCTCATAGTATCTGCAAATGACTCAATGCAAATTGGGCAGAGTAGCAAATGCCTTAGAAGACAGAAGCAATATTCAGGATTATATTGAAAGAACGGAGAACTAAATCAAAACAAACAAAATGAATTTCAAAACAGACAAAAGTTCTTCATTTAGGTCTGAAGAATCAGATGAAGTATAGGATGAGTACTTCATGGCTCAACAGCTGTATTGTATATGAAAAATATATAGGATCTTGGTAGACAACATGCTAAACATGAGTCAGCAATGCAGTATTTTTCAGCGTTGTGAAATGCATGGGAACCTTCTTGGGAACGAGCTGGTGTGTGTGTCCTTGCATCACCCTTTTTTAATTCACAAGATTTTGAAATACTGTTCTGTAATATGAAATCTTTTGTACAAGATATAAGGCAACCTAGCCATTTGGCAATGAGCTTCCTGGATCACCATCTGAATGTAACATTACTGAAAACAACATTGCACAGAGATCTGCTTCTGCTGCGGGACATCTCCCCCCTCTCTTCCCCCCTGCATAAAATCAGCCCTGCTGGATCACACTAAAGGCTCATCTGGTCCCACATCCTCATAATGGCCACCAAATGGCTATGGCATGCCCAGAGCCAGGACCTGGTAGTAACAGCACTCTGCCCACTTGTGATTTCCAGCAACTGGTATGGAGACATGGTGCCTCCAACAGTGGAGATAAGAACGTAGCCATCATGGATAGTAGCCAATGATAGTCTTACCTGCTATGAATCGGTTTAATCTTTTAATGTCATCCAAGTTGGTAGCCATCACTCTCTCATGTGAGAGTGAATTTAATAATCTAACTCTGTACTGTTTCCCTCCCAGCCTATGTCACCCATCCTGAATTCCTAAACCCCTTTGGTTTCTGCCCACAGCTAGATGAAGGGCTGCACCCCTCCTTGTCTGGTACATCTTCACTCTCTTGATGGCTTCTTTGAAGGGTCAATGTCTGGCGATCATCAGCTATTGTTCTTCAAATGGCCACCATCCAGCTAGCTCTGCTGAGCAGGCCAGGCTCCTAAACCAAATTCAGCAGGGGTTTTTTGTGTTTGGCACAGTTTAATCAAATCTTGATTGTTTCTAATTTTTACTAATTCCAGGATTTATGGGTGACTTGCACAGACACTGGCCCCAAAAATATATAGCAGGACATTTGATTCTGAATTATTTACATTACAATCTACTTGCAGTGTCTCTTGTCAAGGCTCCTGAATATATTACTTTGACCTATCCATCTGTATGGCCATACCAGTCAATCCACCAAAGTTGTTCCCAACCTTAAATCCCCACTCTGGCTCCACCTCTTGCCTTGGATCCATTGCCTCAGTCTGTTTTGTATTTATGTTGGAAATATTTTGGAATTTCAGCAGCACTTCTTTCAGGTGTGGTTCTGTTTTTTGGAGCCCATGAAATCTGTAAGAAAAGCAGTAATCAAGTACGGTAAGTCATGGGGCTGGGTGGAGGCAATTTATCCCTCTTCTCAGGGAGCTGCCATCGGTTCAGGAGGGAGAGAGGAAAAGCTGAATGGATTATAGAGAGCCTCCAAGGATCGTGGGAAGCAGCTCTTCTTCAATGGAGGTGAGTAACCACGCCTCCAGTGGAGAGGAGCTGCAGGGCTTGGAGGAGGCGAGGCGGTGCCAGGACACCTTGCCTGGGCAAAGCGGGGAGGAGAGGGGTCCTCCGTTACCCACGCCCTCCTTGCGCAGTAAGTGCAGAGAGGGGAGGCACAGACTGGGCGTCAAGAAATTGCTTTGCTGGGGAAAGTTTAAGAACCGCCCACTCACGGATTCTGCCAGTGAATGAGTCAGCCACGGGAGAGTGGTGCTCCGGACAGATAAAGTTTATTTTTGCAGCAAAAGCAAGGCTTCACAGCCGAGCAGGGAGGTATTTGCCCGCTTGCTCTCGAGCAACCCCTGGGAAACACAACACCTCTCAACTTTGATGACTAAACATTGAATGAAAGTTTAATTCTTCAAGTAATTCTGGTATTATCTCTTTCCCAGGGCAGTACTTTGAGTTTCGTTTTCGTTTTCCCTACATTTCTGTTTCCTAAAAATCTGGGCAGAATTGTCTGGTGTACATGTCCATACAGACTCAGCTATGTTGTGGCTAGAAACCAAGAATTTAGGTGTATCCAGTCTTTATCACTGTTCCCTCCCTTATTTAAACAACTGACAGAAAACTGCTTTTGAACCCTGGGCATCTGGTTGTCAACTATGAGAATAGGATGCTGGACTAGAACCACCTTTGTCCTGATCCAGCAGTGATCTTTTTATGTTCTTAAAAAGCCGGTTTAACTTGTTCCATTAGACAGATTTGTAAAAATGTTTCCAAAGTGAAAGATCTCCAAATGTATTTTTGCATCAATGGAAATTGGTATTTTTAAATATATAGGATTCAAAAGGAAACATCGGGTGTTCTGAAGCTGAACAAAAGTGCAATGCCAGTAATATTTATGATCCAGTTGTGAACTATTGTAGGGTACAATGAGGAGAAAGAGAAGTAGTAGTTTAGGATTGTCATCATTCCTTTCTCCATCCATCCATTCCATCCGTAACCTTGGGAGAAGGGGTTATTGAAGGTACAGTGGTGCCTCGCAAGACGAAATTAATTCGTTCCGCGAGTTTTTTCGTCTAGCGAATTTTTCGTCTTGCGAAGCACGGTTTCCCATAGGAATGCATTGAAATTCAATTAATGCGTTCCTATGGTCAAAAAAAGTCCAAACAAAGCCAAATTTGGTACAACAAGAGTTTATTAACTGCTCTTTAAAGTCACACATACTTTAAAAATTGAAGGAACAATAAATTAAGTTTCTAAACATGACAGGAAAAACATTTAAAAATCAAAAAAAGGGTACATTACATTTTCTAAGACTCTGGGGGACCACTCGAAGAAGGTTCCTCTTCCACTCTTTGCTTCTTGCTGAGGAACCTGTCCATGGTCTGCTGCTTCATCCGCCTTTTCAGCAGCTCCCTGAGAGGCGACATGACCGTCGTATCAAAAATGTTCGCTTGGTCATGTGCCACGTGCTTGTCAGGGTGGTGCCGCTCTGCAAAAGCCTGCACCTCATTCCACTTCTGGCAAATGTCCCTCAGTTCTTTGGAGGACAGCCGTTCCTCAGTTGCTTCCTCCTCTTCCAGCGAGGCCTGCTCCTGCGCAACCTCTGACTGCAGTTCAACCAGCTCCTGGGTGGTCAGCTCGTGGTCGTGCTCCTCCACCAGCTCGCAGACGTCCTCCTCTGTGACCTCCAGGCCCATGGTCCTCCCCAAGGCAACAATGTCCTGCACCACTGTCGACTCTGGTGCATCAGAGTCACTTGGTGCCACACAGTCCGGCCACAGGCTGCGCCAAGCGCAATTCAAATTCCTCTGGCTGATCCCCTTCCAGGCCGTGGTGATCATCTTCAAGCAGGTGACGATGTCGAAGTGGTCCTTCCAGAATTCCCGCAGGGTGATGGTGGTGCAATCAGTCACCTCGAAGCATCGCCTGAAAAGCTCCTTGGTGTAGAGTTTCTTGAAATTGGCGATGACCTGCTGATCCATCGGCTGGAGCAGTGGCGTGGTGTTAGGCGGCAGGAACATGATGTTGATGAAGCTGAACTCCTCCAACAAGTCCACCTCAAGGCCTTTAGGATGAGCAGGAGCATTGTCCATCAGAAGCAAAGCCTTCAGCGGCAGGTCGTTGTCCAGCAGGTACTGTTTGACAGCAGGGCCAAAGGCAAGATTGACCCAGTCCACAAACAGCACACGTGTGACCCAAGCCTTGCTGTTGGATCGCCACATGACACTCAGCCGCTCCTTGTCGACCTTGTGTTTCTTGAAGGCCCGTGGGTTCTCCGAGTGGTACACCAGCAGGGGCTTGATCTTCAGGTCGCCGCTTGCGTTGGCACAGAAGAGCAGGGTCAGACGGTCCTTCATGGGCTTGTGGCCAGGCAACTTGGCCTCCTCCTGTGTGAGGAAAGTCCTTTTGGGCATCCTCTTCCAAAACAGCCCGGTCTCGTCGCAGTTGAAGACCTGCTGTGGAACGTAGCCCTCCGTCTTCACAACCTCCAGGAACTCCAAGGCAAAGTCTTCAGCCGCAGGAACATCAGAACTGGCAGCCTCTCCATGCCTGACCACGCTGTGGATTCCGGATCTTGCCTTGAACCGGTCAAACCAGCCTCTGCTTGCCTTGAAGACTTCTCGCTCGGCCGAGGTTCCTGGCTGTTCCCGGATGAGATCTGCGTGCAAGGCCTTGGCCTTCTCACAAATCACGGCCTCAGTCACTGTGTCCCCTGCACGCTGCTTCTCTTCTAACCAGATGAGCAGCAACTTCTCGACCTCCTCCAGAACAGCTGGGCGGTTCTTCACGATCCTGGTGACTCCCTTGGCTGCATCAGTCGCAAGGATCTTCTCTCTCATCTTCAGGATGGTCCCGATGGTCGATGGGTTCCTGCCGTACTCCCTGGCGAGGTCCGTCACACGCATTCCACCGTCGTGCTTCCGGATGATCTCCTTCTTCATCTCCAGCGTCACCTTCTCCTTCTTCCTCTCGCCGGCCTCCGCAGCAGCAGCCTTCTTGGGTCCCATGGCAGCACAGCTGTTACCTTTGTAAACTCAGAAAAAAAAAAAAAATCAGCAATTCAAACCCACAACCAAGTCCTTGAATTCCAAACACCCAACCCAAAATCCAAAAATCCCCAAAAAAGTTTTAAAAGTTTAACTTACGAAATGGCTGCAAATCACCAAAGTCTTCAAAATCCTCAAATGGCTGCAAAAGAAGTTTTGGGAAAGCTTTAAAAATCACCAAAGTCTTCAAAAACCTCAAC